GCCCTAACTGTTGTATCATACACGTGGAGGGACGCTAAAAAATGCGTAGTCAGCAAGTTTCGCCCGATCGTGTTTAAGTTCGCCCGCGTGACGTCATTACATATAATTATGACGTATGTTAATGATGAGTGACGTCATTACTCCTCCTCACTTGTACGAGTACTAATTAGCGCACCCTCAACATCCTTACGCACCCTCATTTGTATGAATATTAATTAGCGCACACTTACGCACCCTCCCTCCACCACACTCCACCAGAAAAATAAGGGTCGAACGGCCTCTATATTACTACTCCCTGTAGTATAATTTTATTCGAAATAATGCACATATGTCATATAACTCATATTATGGATAATTTTCACATTATAGTCAATATAGTATAGAGTACATTATCAGTTTTGTTTTTTTAGTAATATTGTACTGCGGTTGATAAATCTATATTTTTGCATTATACTGCATAAGTTGCTAATCACAAATGTTCTGTGCGCGGCCTCCAGCGACATTATAATCCTTAACTACAAGCCAAAAATGTCTAAATTGTTTTATTTCGTCCATTTAATGTTAATGAGAATGGCATTGAATATTTTGTCGATTGCTTTTACCGTTATATTGCGGTTATATTATGAAAATCACCCGCTGCCCTTTTCAGATTTGGAATCTGAAAATGAAGTCATGAATCTGAAAGTGAAATAGTTTGGTCTGTTCGTTATAAATATGCTTCGCTCGGTAGCCGTCAAATCCATTGGACATCGAAACATCTTGGGGTAAAGGTTTCCGAGTGTCCTGAAAGAAAAAACTTGAGTCGACAACGAATGGTTTCATATTATCAAGCGTCAATACGAGTGGACTATGGGCATATAGGACAGGACTTTAATTCGCGACATAATAGGTATGTAAAACTAGTTTCATATTAATCTGACACTGCAATCGAGTAACGAAAAATTCGTTGGCTCAAGCGGGATTTGAACTCGCATCTTCGGGTATCTAGACCGCCGCTCTACCTATTGAGCTATCGAGTCAACAGGGATTGGTAGCGAGTCTTATCCAATTTAAGTGTACGAAGATATAAAGTGTGTCCCCCCAAAAAGTACCCTCTATAGCAATTATCCTATTGTTATAAGGGTACTGTTTTGGGGACACACTGTACAGGGTGTCCCAAAAAAAAGTGACACTTTAATAAACTTTTTTAAAACGTTTTCGCTTTGTCCAAATATTTTAACGCCCGAGTCAAGCAAAACGATTACACTAATAAACAGTATGCTTTTTTATTTTAAATTCCAGAAGCAGAAGTATAAACTTACTTAGTGCTAGGTCATTCAAATTATAACAATAGGATAATTTCTATAGTGTCACTTTTTTTTGGGACACCCTGTATGTACGGGGTGTCCCAAAAAACCCGAAAACTATTGAAATTACCAATAACAATTTAATTGTTAGAATTTGAATGCTTTAGCACTCAGTTTGTTCCCACGAGTGCATAAATGATTGACATAAGTAAATTTTATGCATAAAGAAACTATTAAGAAACTGCTTTAAATTCCCAAGAGCAGAAAATCGCGCACTTTACACGAGAATGTTCTTAACTAAATTTTAATACATGCAATTTGTCAATATTTACGCATCATTACGTTCAGCTTTTTGGTAGGGCATTCAATTTTAACAATAAGCGATTTCAATAGTTTTTTTTGGGACACCCTGTATATATGTAATCAAATTATGCTGTACAGTTTATATTCTAATATAATTTTTCAAAAGAAACACAGGCCTAACTTGAGTTTCCCGCACTAAATTTTGAACACTGAATTTAGGTAATAACGTAAAATTTAATTTAAAAACTTAGGTATAATTTGACGCCGACACCTCCCAATGACAGAGTCTTCGCCATTTCAGTGCCCATGTATTGGGTTTGCAAGATGTTATAATATTTAGGTTTTTGTTTTATACTTTAGCTATACAGTGTGTCCCCCAAAAAAGGCTACCCTTTGAAGTCAAGCGCTAGTGCCGCATGTTCGAATTTGAATGCTTTAACTCCCTAATGAGCCCTGGAATGCGTAAAACGTTATAGCAGAGAATTTTTATGCATGCATTGCAAATTAATTGAAATTTGTTCCGCTAAAATAACACAGAATGGAATGCATGAATATAATTGACTACGTACAATACAAGGTGTATAAAAAAAAAGGAGACCTTTAGAAATCAAGCATATTGTTAAAATTTGAATGCCTTTTCAATTGCACATGTATGCAGTGAACCGTGGTGTGTGAAAAATTGATGGGGTGCATATATTAGAAAAAGGAGACCTTTAGAATTGAAATAACGTTTAAACAAAGGATTGTCTGCTCCTGGGAACAATCTGCCATGCATACTGTACGTAGTCGCATATGCATGGCAGTTCAGCATAAAGGTCTCCTTTTTTTTTATACACCCTGTATAACGTTTTACGCATTCCAGGGCTCATTAGGGAGTTAAAGCATTCAAATTCGAACATGCGGCACTATAGCGCTTGACTTCAAAGAGTAGCCTTTTCAGTTTTTGGGACACACTGTATGTCTTTAGTAATTATTTGATGTATACGATTCTCTACCTATAAAGTAGATAGATTCTCACAAATGTCATAGAGTATCTCTTTTGGCAAAGCATTTTGCATGATTGTAGAAATTTTCCACTCTGTGATATTATTCTGAGTGTACATCCACACCGGGCAAGCTGAAAAGTTTGCCTGGCCACGGTGTAGCCTACGGTGTAGACCCCAGCTGCTGGGGTCTACACCGTAGGCTAGCCACGGTGGGAATCTGTATTTCTAGGTTTTATACTGTATTTCTAGGTTTTATTGACTTATTCGTACCTGAAGACTGCAGAAATGGAAATACTATTAAGGTAATTAAAAGTGGTCCTAATTATAGGCCTGTTTCAAACGTAGTGTTTCTCATGTTCCGAACGCATTAAAAACAATAGCTACAATCCTGGCACAAACTAATGAAACATGCAGTTTGATTAACAATTTAATTTATTCTCCCCCCCCTTCCCCTTTTCCAATGTTGGTTAAGATAAGCAAGAAACCTAAACATAGTGCTCTCTGCCATCGATGAACTATTGTACACCAACATTGTGCAGGGGGGGAGGGGATTTTCTCTGTATTATTGATTTTTTATCGGTGTTTCATTAAATTTTTGCCAAGATTGTAGTCAGTTGAAATGCCTCATTATCTATTGTTTCTAATGCGTTCGGCACATGAGAAGCCTGACGTTTGAAACAGGACTTAGCCGATTCATGAACACCAAGCACACTTTCTTGATTTATTATAATATTTAATTTATTACATTATTTAATATAATAGAAACTGTTATAAATTGTAAACAATTCATTGGCAGAAACGAACCAAAACTTAGGAAGCCATCCTGTTTTAAACGGGGCAATGATTTGTGGTCGCTATAAAGTATAAAATAAATGAGTGAAACATGTTATGTCACAAGCCGGGCTAGGCATACTGTTTATCTCGACAGCCACTGGTCAATATGATGACATCCAAACTATACCTTTGTAGCTATTTCAAATTTGGAATTGGGTGACAACATTTTAAACATTTATTTGTCGCTATTCAGTTATATACCCAGTTATATCCAGCTTGAAGAAAGGGTGGACACACTTGCGCCGAGAGGACCTCTGGGCTACGCCAATGCCTGGAATAGTTTTATGTATGGGTACATTTACTAGGCTATTTACTCGTGTCAAAAATTGTTCCAAGATGGCGGACAGCCCGTTATTTTCAATCGAAATTTTTCAAGAAGTATATACTGTATAAGAGGGTTTTCATGCGATTTAAAAGTTCATTCAAGTAAAACAAACTAAAAGTTTTTGTCATATCTTTTTAATTACACCTACTAAACATGGACGAATTTCCTTCGACAAATATTTTTTTGACAATTTTGTTGTTATTTGTGTTTACTGTCCAATTTGTGGCAATTTATCCATGCAGACCGAAAGCACCCAAGGTTGCTGTGTAGACGAGCAAAAAGTTGTCGAAGAAAATTCGTTCGTGTAGAAATTTGTAATGACAGAAAGATGGTTCGTAACCAAATACTTAAAACATAAAAATATATTTGTGTAACAGTCAGACCCAGCCGAGTTGATTGAAACTGCAAAACGGGTTTTGGCGAAAGGAAAATTAGAGGTCGCTGAAAATTACTTGATTCGGGCCATGCGCACAGTTATGTTGGACAACTCTTACAAAAGAAGTCCAGAGCCGTATCGCTACTTAGCTGAAGTCCTGGAGAGGAAAGCACAAGACAAGAATTTGGAGTTGCCGCAGAGACAACGATTTCTGCTTCAAGCTGCAGCATTGTATAACTTTGTGCGCAACTTTTTAAAAACACTATTACCTTACCGATCAAAACTCAGCAGCGGAATTTATACTTCAAAAGAATCTAAGCTACGCCAACTTTCTATGTGAACAAAAGCGTTTTGCGGAGGCTAATGCTGTGCTTCAGGATATGAACAATTTAGGCAAAGAACTGTCGGATAAATTTGTGTATTGTGCCTACTTTTCACGTGTCTTTTATGGTCCGGGTATACAGAAAAGCATCGAAGTTGACGGCGAGCTATTGTCAACTGTTGAACACTGTATGTACAGCACAATGGTTCGAATGTTTGTTGGAATGGGAAAGAAAGGAGAAGCAGTCGCTGCGTGCGAGAAGCTGACAGCCAATCCAATAGTTGTTCATGATGCAATTTACGGCAAACGTCCTTCCAGTATCCCATACCTTATCGAAGCCTGGCATCGCAAGTTGTTGTCTCTTTTGAGTGATGAAGATCAAAAGCAACTTCAGAATTGTGAATTTCCGTTATCTCCAGCAAATATTTTCAAATTGTATTACATGCTTAACGAATACACCTTGGCAATGAAATACTACACGAACGAGACGCAATCACCCGACTTGATCGAAATTAAAATTTCATGCTTGCGCTTAGCTGGAAATGAGTTAGTGGAAATGGATAGAGGAAAGGAAGCATTGTTATGTTTCGTGGAATTCCTTAGAATGCTTCAAACAAAAGAGGGATTTCTCGACAAGCCTTTTTATGATATTGTGCAATCCTTGCAAGATATTCTTTTTCAAATGAATATTACATTTTCCGCTTGTTGGGAATGATGATGGCATGCGAAAGAGGGAATCTTGATGGTGCAATTCAGTGTTATGAACGATGCCTTGAGCTGCATGAAGATATGACCCTTGGCCAAGACCTTGCGGCAAGTCTGGCTGACTTTTCTCAATCAAAAGCGTCAACAGTTGACATAAAAAACCAATATTCCTGCAAACTACAGTGAACCTTGTTCTTTATTTGGTGCAGAAGCTGTTTAAAAAAACTGCCGAATTGACACCATTTGTAGAATGCTCGTTTGGGTCACTTTTGTTGAAATTGGAACGTTATCATGAAGCTGTTAAACATTTTGAAAATGTTATAAAAAGAGCAGATCACGAAGCTATGGAATGTACGGACGTAGACAAGCCGTTGCTCGACGTTTGCCTTCGTCGTGAAATTGAAGCTAGCGGCAGTATTACCATTCCAGTGAAAGTCCGCGCTTTCTACGAGTTAATTTTAACGTATATGAAATTGAATGAAGTGGGAAAAGCCCAAGAAGTTGCGCTCCGATTGGAGAATTATGTTGAACGTTTTCAACGCACTCCAGAGATTTATCTGGCTCTGTCTATTGTAGGATATGCCAACAAACTAATTGAAAACAAAGAAAAAGCCGCGGAGATATTTGTTTTGGTATTGGAGATCATCCCTGGACATTTATGCAGCACAGTGGTCCGAGCGTTTGTTGAAATTGGAAAGAAAAGAGAAGCAGTAGCTGCGTGCGAGAAGCTGACAGCCAACCCAGTAGTTGTTCATCATGCAATTTACGAGAAAACGTCCTTCCATTACCCCACACCTGATCGAAGTTTGTCATCGCGAGTTGTTGTCTCTTTTGAATGATGAAGACCGAAAGCAACTTCAAAATTGTGAATTTCCGTACGTTATCTTCAGCAAATATTTTCAAATTGTATTACATGCTTAACCAATACACCTTGGCACTGAAATACTACACGAACGAGACGCAATCACCCGACTTGATCGAAATGAAAATGTCATGCTTGCGCTTAGCTGGAAATGAATTAGTACAAATGGACAGAGGAAATGAATCATATTCAAACTTCAAGCAATTTCTTGCAATGCTTCAAACTAAAGAGGGATTTCTGGACAAGCCCTTTCATGCTCAATGCGCAACCCTTGCACGATATTCTTTTGCGAATCAATATTACATCGAATCAATATTACATTAGCTGCGTGCGAGAAGCTGACAGCCAACCCAGTAGTTGTTTATGATGATGCAATTCACAGGAAACCTCCTTCCAGTATCATATACCTTATCGAAACCTGTCATCGCGAGTTGTTGTTTCTTTTGAGTGATGAAGACCGAAAGCAATTTCGGAATTGTGAATTTCCGTTATCTCCAGCAAATATTTTCAAATTGTATTACATGCTTAACGAGTACTCCTTGGCACTGAAATACTACCCGAACGAGACGCAATCACCCGATTTGATCGAAATGAAAATGTCATGTTTGCGCTTAGCTGGAAATGAGTTAGTGGAAATGGATAGGGAAAATGAATCAGATACATACTTCACGCAATTTGTTGCAATGCTTCAAACTAAAGAGGAATTTTTGAACAAGCCCGTTCATGCTGAATGCGCAACCCTTGCAGGATATTCCTTTGCAAATCTATATTACATTTTCCGCTCGTTGGGAGAGATGATGGCATGCGAAAGAGGGAATCTTGATGGTGCAATTCAGTGTTATGAACGATGCCTTGAACTGGATGAAGATTTTACCCTTGGCCAAGACCTTGTGGCAACCCTGCATGGCTGACCTTTATCAGTTAAAAGCGTTAACAGTTGATATAAAAAGCCAAGATTCCTGCAAACGACAGATGAACCTTGCTCTTGATTTGTTCCAGAAACTGCTTCAAAAGACTACCGAATTGACACCATTTGTAGAATGCTCGTTTGGGTCACTTTTGTTGAAATTGGAACGTTATCATGAAGCTGTTGAACATTTTGAAAATGTTACTAAAAAAGCAGATGACGAACTTTTGGTTTATAGGGACATAGACAAGCCGTTGGTCGACGTTTACTTTCGTCGTGAAATTGAAGCTAGAGGCAGTATTACCATCTCAGTGAAAGTTCAAGCGTTGTACGAGTTAATTTTAACTTATATGAAATTGAATGAAGTGGGAAAAGCCCAAGAAGTTGCGCTTCGATTGGAGAATTATGTTGAACTTTTTCAACGCACTCCAAAGACTTCTCTGGTTCTGTCTATTGTAGGATATGCCAACAAACTAATTGGAGACAAAGAAAAAGCCGCGGAGATATTTGTTTCGGTGTTGGAGATCATCCCAGAACATTTATGCAGCACAATGGTCCGAGTGTTTGTTGAAATGGGAAAGAAAAAAGAAGCAGTAGCTGCATGCGAGACAATGGTCCGAGTGTTTCTTGGAATGGGAAAGAAAAGAGAAGCAGTAGCTGCGTGCGAGAAGCTGACAGCCAACCCAGTAGTTGTTGATAATGCAATTCCTCACGAGAAACGTCCTTCAAGTATCCTATACCTTATCGAAACCTGTCATCGCGAGTTATTGTCTCTTTTGAGTAATGAAGACCGAAAGCAATTTCGGAATTGTGAATTTCCGTTATCTCCAGCAAATATTTTCAAATTGTATTACATGCTTAACGAATACACCTTCGCACTAGAATACTACACGAACGAGACGCAATCACCCGACTTGATCGAAATGAAAATTTCATGCTTGCGCTTAGCTGGAAATGAATTAGAGGAAATGGATAGAGGAGATGAATCAGATTCATACTTCCTGGAATTTCTTGCAATGCTTCAAACTAAAGTGGGATTTCTGGACAAGCCCTTTCATGCTCAATGCGCAACCCTTGCAGGATATTCTTTTGCGAATCAATATTACATTTTCCGCTCGTTGGGATGGCTGATGGCATGCGAAAGAGGGAATCTTGATGGTGCAATTCAGTTTTATGAACGATGCCTTGAACTGGATGAAGATTTGACCCTTGACCAAAGCCTTGCGGCAACCCTGGCTGACCTGTATCAATCAAAAGCGTATCAAAAGCGTAAAAGAAATCCGCATTTATTATGGACTGGCCAAACGCGCGCCCTCGCGTCACGGCGCGATCACGAAACTTTTTCACGACGAATGTTTTGGCCAATTTGTCCAGTAGATCTCTTTTTGTTGATCTTTTCTTTTCATCGGTCTTTTCGCAGTCTCCATCTTTCTTTTCGCCGTCTCCTTCTTTCTTTTCTCTTCCTCCGTCTTTCTTTTCATTGATCACGTCTCTGATCACAAGCCGGGTAAAAGGATGGACAGTATAGAACCGAATACCAAATTCTTTTGTGATATCAACAAGTGACTTCGGCTGGTCTCGTATTTGATCTAAACGTGCTTCATTCTCGAAATAGTCCTCTTCATTTGATGATAGTTGATTACTCAGAAGAAATCCTGGAATCCTGTTATTGGAGATAAATGACATAGTAGCAATCGCGTCAAATGCATCATCATCACGAACATCGTCTAAACACAAACGTATACTCTCGTAAAGTTGGATGTTCACCTGAAACGCCTTAATACTTTCTTGCTTCCTTACTATTACACAGCCTTTGCAGATACTCGCAGGCAGTTAACTTGTTCTTCTTCATGTATTCTCGTGCAACTGTCAGACCCAGAATATTCCAATCAAATTCCTCACAAACCTTTGCCAGATCTTCTTCACTGTCGTCAAAAGTTTCCTTAAGAAACTCTAAAGCATCATCAAGTTTTCCTACTGGAAATTTCTCTGCATCTTTAAGGTTGTCGAAATCTGAAGGATCGCTATTTGTTGTGATGATTATATAAACTGATTCTCGGATGTCAAACAACAGTTGAAACCATTTAGATTTTTGAATCAAATTCATCTCTACGTTGTCTAACAAAAAGATTATATCTTTTCTTTCAGCTCTTTCTTTAATGGTTTGAAACAACTTGTCATACGATACACCAAGACGCCCGACCTCGTATTCAAACGACTTGTTGATAGTATCTTCACCTTTAGAGACATCAATACACCAACGTATATCAAACTTTCCAACGTATAACAAATTTTGATATTTGTAATCCCATAGTACGGTACGGCTCTAACCCTCCAACTATTCAGAAACAGCATTGACACTCGAGGGAAGCTCAGATTGAACCTCCACTCATTGAGTGTGAGTGAGCTTTTAGAGTACAGGCGTTAGTTATGAAGATAACAAAGTATTTATTCCAATTCCGAAGTATCCAGTTACTCAACAATACTAAACACCACAAGCCGTTTTGTTAAATTTACTATTTTTTGTAAATACAGTAAAATCCCGCGTATAAGAACCTACTATTTTCCAGGTCAGGGTAAATAGGTTCTCTTACTTATTTGATCAGAATATTCATGATTCTAATGTCTACTCTCTATAAATATCAGACAACCTTACTATACCTTTTGCATCTTCGCAGTGAGGCCAGTCTTTGAGCACAAGAGGGTCTTGTGCATGTGATGTACGACAGATGCCGCCATTTCACTACCAAATTTCTGCCACGCATCTGTCTTCGCTTGAGTTCCATCTGCACGATCTGACGCTGCTTTAATAACACCCCATTCTATTCCAAGTTCTCTTGCTGCGTGATATACACCTACAATTTAAGCACAAAATTAAACCACTACCAGCATATAGAATGTGATCGAGGCAGGGCCGTTCCTAGCGCGATAATTGAGGGGGTGGTATATTCATATACTCGTGTTCTGCCTGACGGATTTCTTTTGAAAGCGATTTTTTTTACGGTATGTGAGCATGAATATACGACTATATACACCCCCCCTCCCCCCAATTATCGCGTTTCGGAAACATGCTGGCGTATCCAGCAGGTTGAAAAATTCAGCTATATTTTTTTGTTTAGTATTAGGGGTATGCTGATGTGGGACAATTTTACAGATAATAATAATAATAATAATATAATGATGGTTTATTATTATGTAAAATGGCACCAATTGGTGAATTACTTTACATTTACATCTAGAGAATCCAAAATCTATATATATATAAATATAATATATCTACAACTTAGTCTAATATATCTACAACTTACTATACTAATATAAAATGTCTAAAAATATTTTGAGCTTATCTATTTGAGTTGCAGTAACTAACGTTAGTGGGAAAAAACTGTTTTTCCCCACTAACGTTAGATACCGCTGCTTCTATAGCGAAAGTTGACAACCGAGAACAACTCGCTTAGCTGGGACGAAATCCGGTACATTTGTCCCATGTACAATTGCATTTTGGTGAGTTGTCCCGGTAAATTGAGTTGAAAGTCTAGGGTTACGCATACAGATTACAGTAAGACTCCGCGTATAAGACCCTAGATTTTCAAGTTAGCCTATAAAACAGGTTCTTATATAAATGGTGCTTATCGCGAAATTAGGCTAAAAGGTTCTTAAATGGGTTCTTAATATTTTCTAAAGAAGAAGCGACTCAATTTCGGTTGGTGTAGGTACAGTTATTTTTTGTGGAAACTTAAAGATGTACTATAAACGAAATATTTTAATATATTAAAATAAGAAAACTAAACGAAATATTGTGGCATTTTACACCGTGCCCGATGTTGTACTTCATAATATTTGACACTAATTACCACTATTACACTAATCTAAACCTTTTCAACGGTCACATCAAGAAATTGAATAGTAATCTTAATTAAAGGTACTTACCTGTCGAAATGTTCAGACCGAATCATACCAATAGAAATAAGTATAGCAATATGATTTTCTTATCATGAATTTAAATTGAAACATTGTTATTATCAAATACATCGAGTAAATGAACTAAATGACTCCAAAAAAACAACGGCGCACAATGGCTACGTACACAATGGCTGGATTACTCAAAAGCATTCCACGCATTCCGCGTAAAAAAAAGCACAATGGCTGGATGACTCACATGCATAAAAACACATAGAAAGCAACTGACGTGTATATAGAGATGGTCTTTACAGACTACAGTTGCCCACTCGCCGTTGTATTGAGAGTAGGCTGCAAGCTTTTAGTATGGAGAACGAGTCAACATTGTATCAACAAATATACGACTATCTACAAAATGACAAATATCCGGATGAGTTTAGCAAATCCCAAAAACGCGGCTTGAGACGGAGATCCCAAGACTTTGTTGTTCAAGACGGGGTATTATTCTATCAAGGAAAAAACAAGGAATCTCAACCACGACGCTGGATAACGGACCCTAAGCAAAAGCAACAGATATTAGAAGGATGTCATTCAAGTCAACTTGAAAAACAGAAATGCCAAATACAAGGATCCATTTCATCACAAAAATCGATCAAATGTGGTGTACCACAAGGCTCTATTCTTGGGCCACTATTCTTTCTAATATATATTAATGATTTGCCTCAATGTCTAAATAATACAAAACCTCGGTTGTTTGCTGATGACACAAATCTAACCGCTACTGGAGATTCTATACCTCACCTTGAGACTGCAGTGAACTCTGATTTGGAAAACCTTAGAAAATGGTTAATTGCCAATAAACTTAGCCTAAATGTAGCTAAGACCGAATTTATGTTAATTGGTTCGAAGCCAATGATCAAAAGTGTTTCAAATTCACAACCTAATATTGAAATTGAAAACAAACCAATTAAACAAGTTTACGAATGTAAAACTCTTGGAGTGACAGTTGACCAGCATTTGTCTTGGAAAAGTAATACTGACAATATTTGTAAGAAAATAACAGCAGGAATATCGGCTCTTCGGCGTTTAAAAGAGTTTACTGATAGACAAACTCTTATTTCTGTATATAATGCAATTGTTCGGCCATACTTCGATTATTGTTGTGAAGTATGGGATGTCTTTGGGGAAACACAATCAAAGCGACTCCAAAAACTCCAAAATAGAGCTGCTCGAATTATCATGAATATGAGCAATGACACAGAACATTCTGTTGCTTTACAAGCATTGAGCTGGGTGCCACTCAAAACGGAAAGACAAAAAGCTAAAGCAAAATTAATGTACAAAATATTAAATAAAATGGGTCCGGAGTCACTCACTAATCTTTTCACATATAAAGGTGAGATGACAAACTACAATCTTCGGGATATTTCGAGTAGTCTTTGCTTACCTAAACCGCGTACAAATAGCATGAAAAAGAGTTTCATGTATGACGGAGCCTACCTTTGGAATTCTATTCCGAAGGAAATTAGAGAAAGCAAATCCTTTGCCTCTTTTAGGAATAAAATCGCTACTCACATTAATAGTAATTGTAAATAGATGTTCCCGCAGACTAACTTACTAAGTACCGGTACTATACTTTACCTATTTAATACTATTTCTAATATTTTGTAAATAATTATTCTAAATTTTATACTTCTGTAATTTCTTCTATACACGCCCCCTGTGGAAATCAGCTTCGGTTGACGGGGTTAGCGTGGTTAAATAAAGTTTTCTATCTATCTTCTAACTAGCTGGACATTTTGGTCGCGACAAGACAAGAGAAAAGGCGAGTAAGCTTTTGTTTATATGAAAAGATATATATAAGGATTGTTTTTTTGCTTCTTTTTGTTTTTCTTTTTGATGATGTATGTAGTATATAGAGTTGTATACTTACGTCTTCTTCTGTTTCTAAAATAAAGGTTGGGACAATGTATTACTGGCTATCTGTTATCGAAGACTGTGCCGATTTTGTAAGACCCTGCGACGTATGTCAACGCAATAACAAGCATTTCAAGAAGTCGTCCACTCTCCATCCCATTCCAGTTAAGAACAAAGTATGGCATCGCATTTGGAATTGACCTTATTGGACCTTTACCAGAAGTATGTGATTTGTCTTGATCATAAAACATCAGTTTGTTTTTGCTGTTCATATTCCTGTTTAATTTTTATAATATTGTTCAAATTTCTAGACACATCGAGGTAATAAGTATCTTATGACTTGCACCGACAGCTTCAGCAACTGGCCAGAAGCGAAACCTTTAAAAGACAAAACGGCTATTGGCGTAGCAGACTTCTTCTACGAACTACTGACACGATATGGAGTAGCTGAAGTTATCATCTCCGATCAGGGTCGAGAGTTTGTGAACCAGATCAATGAAGAGCTCTTTCGTTTGACAGGAACTGATCATAGAATTAGTTCAGCATACTATCCCCAGACTAATGGTCTAGATGAGCGCATGAATCAAACAATGAAAACTTCTCTAGTTAAATACGTAAACGAGAACCAAACCGATTGGGATGTTCATGTCTCGTCCGTCCTATTTGCCTACCGTACTAGTGTCCATGATTCCACCAAATACTCGCCATACGAGCTGATGTTTGGCCGCAAACCTGTTCTTCCAGTTGAGCTGCAAATACTACCATTTCCTTCTACTTCGGATGATGATAGCACTGCGGGTGCTGGACATGTACAGTTTGAAAACAAAATTCGGGTAATGAAAGAAATACGTCAACAAGTCAACGCAAAGGCCTTAAAGAATATATCTAAGGCTCAACAACGTATGAAGGCGAATTACGACGCGAAGCATCAGGCTCCCTCCTTTAAAAGCGGTGACGAAGTTTTGCTCAAATCAGTGAGAAATGATTCAAGGAAAGGTGGTAAACTAGAGTGTACTTGGACGGAACCATATGTTATTTCCAATTGCTTGGCAAAGGGACTTTACAAACTTGTCAAAGATGGAAAGGAGTTGAAGAAGTCATACAACGGTGTTCGGCTGAAGAAATATGCTAAACCATCAACAGTAAACGATGCAGCTGGCTCGAGAAGCAAAGATACTGTTAATCCAAATGTTTGGTTACCTGGACTTGGTCTCACTGCGAAAGATAAGAAGACTATACAGAACAATTCAAAGCTTGACGACAAAGTTATTAATGCTGCACAGACGGTCTTAAAGCAGCAATTTCCTAGTATCTCTGGTTGGCAAGACACCATCCTCAGTCAAACCTCCTTCGAGTCAATTCCTGTAGATTCTGTTCAAATCCACTATAATCCAAAAAGAGATAACTGGGTCTGTTCATCGTCTGTCCATGGGAACATACAGGTATTCGACAGCTTGTTCGAGACCTTAAGTGCCTCAATGCAGATTCAACTTGCAGAGTGTTATCGATTTGCTATCAACTTCGACGTCCTTGAAATCGAATTAAGTTCCTTCCGTTCAACGACAAAGTGGCAGTATAGACTGTGGACTTTTCGCTATTGCGTTTGCGTATGAGTTAGCGTCAGGAAATGAGCATACTATACAAAGCAAACGGTTCGAACAACATCGCATGCGAGATCATTTGATCAGATGCCTCGAGAGTGGCGAGTTCGAGCCTTTCCCAGCACAGATTAACAACAAGCGGAAAAGAGAAGATCCAGACATTTTTGAGATCGAATTGTTTTGCAATTGTCTCATGCCTGAAGTGAGCGACGACATGATTTTGTGCGATTTGTGCGACCACTGGTTTCACTTCGGTTGCGTGGACGTGAAAGGTATAGAAGGCAATGAACAGTGGTTGTGCCCCGAATGTACTCCTCCTGTCCTCCAGCATCTTGAACAATGAACTTTTATTATGAAATACTGTCATCTTTATATAATTAAATTCTTGTGCTAACTTTGCTTGCAAATGGTTTTTATATAAATATATTTTCTTTCAAAGATGCCTTTGTTTTTGACTTTCACGTGGGGGACACTATCCGCGGCAAAGTAATTAAAGGGGACACTATCCGCTAGCGGATACTGTCCGAGGGGGACACTATCCGCGGGGGGACTATCCGCTGTGACACCGGCACTAACTTGCTTTAGGTTGAGTTCTGGTGGGCCTCGATCAATGCCTTCGCGAGACATATTATGACAAATGTCAACTCCTGTACTGTTTCGATACAATGAGTCGAATAGTGGATGACTGAGAAGTTTTATGACTTTAATATCACTTTGTTTGAAAACCCTCCTGAACCGGCGTTCGTTCTCGATTCAAGCTTTTCTTTCAGACACTCGGAAACCTTTGTCCCAAGCTCTTTGTGTCTGAACTGTCTGGCGGTAACTATGACAAATTGACAATGTCCTGTTGAATATTCAATGAATATTAAATTGGACATTGTCATGCATAGTTATACTGGCCGACAGTTTAGACACAAAGAGCTTGGGATAAAGGTTTCCGGGTGTGTGAAGAAAAACTTGAATTGAGAACAAACGGTTCATGAGTGTTTTTTGTTATCAAGCGTCAATATGAGTGGACTTTAAGAGCATAGGACTTCAATTCGCGATATAATAGGTACGTGGGTCGAATATATCTTCGTTTCTTTGTTTAGTTTTGTACATTTTGTAACTGCAATGTCATTGTCTTTGTTGATCAATTATATTTGCTTGTGATACAGTGGAATTGCAGTACAAAACTGTGGATCTTTGATTGCTTTAAATATAGAAATAATACGGATATAGAATTGGCACTAGCTCCTAAATTCTTTGAGCCAAGTCAAACGCGGACGAGAATTGATAAGATCGTGTTGGCAGACAAACTAAAGGTTTCATGAGTGTTTCAACCACGTTTCACTGTCTTTAATAAAATACATGATAGCGTTGGGAAAGCATTATCGTGCCCTCAAAATGCTCAATCTCGTTTGATCCTCGCTTTTGTATTAATTAGGAAGTACAGTGTAAAACCAAATTAGGTTTTGTACCTTAATTTGTACCGTTTGTACGTGTGATTCATGAGAAATTCATATTTATAGTATTACATTTTTAACCTTTATTTTATTTATTATATATCAAAAACATGTGCTACCTAAGATTTTAATAGGTTATGGGACCAGGACATGGAACTGAATGTTGTTCTGAAACGTATATATTTGTCCTGTTTGGGGTGATATTGTTCGTTGAAAATTGTTGTTTGCCGGTCGCATTTAATTTATTTATGGCGGAAATTACGAAGATTGAGAAATTATCTGGTAAAAACTATCAGTCGTGGAAATATAATATCAAACTTGTTTTAATCGAACGTGGCCTATGGGGATTTACACAAGAAGGAAAGGAAACAACTCCAGCCGAAACTGCAACAAACGCCGCGAAAAACGCTTTTCAACTACTCTTGGATAAAGCTTACTCTCTGATCATGATCGCATTAAATGTCGAGAAACACCTTCAAATACATATCTCTGGTACTACAGATCCGCTAGCAGCGTGGCAGAATTTGCAGAAGCAATTCGAGTTATGCTACCTCATCCGCAGGCCTTTCAAAAGACAAAAATATAAACTTGGTGGGAAACGAACGGAAAGGCCTGCGGACTAATTTCCAAGATGGCGGAAGCCACAAGCCAAATTATATTTATATATTTTACTAGAACAATATTATTATAAAGTCTTTAACTACTTCTGATATAGACCGCTTTTCGTATCCGCAATATACATAAAACAGTGAACACTGAACAAACAAGCATACATTATTGATTTATAAAGAGAAGCAGATAAATATCAGTTAATAATTTTTTTGCACATTAAATTCTAAAACAGACAAACACGACTACCGAAACCTCACAATAAAAATCGTAAATTTAATTTTTTTCTGGGGGGACAGTTGCCACGCCCCCCCCCCCTTCCCCCGCTAGCATAAAAGGATTACTAATTGAGAAATACCTGAAACAAAAGGAGAAGAATGAAAGCAACAAAGGGGGATAATGCTCTGTTTCCAAAAAGGAAACCAAATTTCAGTAGAGGAAGATATCAAGAATATACGCCCCAAACATTCTCGTGGTTGGACACAAGATTACAAGCCATGATGGATCGCAAATAAATCGCATCAGGCTTCAGCATCACGGCGAGGTGATCCAGGAAGAAGCATCGTATGCTTCAAATGCAATTAAGTTGGGCATATTGTCAGAAATTGCCCATTCAATAACAACAGGAATAATGACAAAGGTGAACAATGTGGCTGAATGGGGGAGGCGTAGCACTGATATCGCGTACTATAAGCCCAAAAATGAATCATGTGGGACTTCCCCCACAACTGCTTTGAAAGACAAAACTCTGTATGAATGTTTATTTGGCAGAAAGCCAGTGCTTGGTGTTGTATAAGTGCTAGGTGCATGTTCCAGATTGTCGTCAAGAATTAGATCAGAAATCGTACGAAGCAATTTTTGTTAGATATCCACAGGGAACAAAAGGATATAAGATATACGATATATCTCAGTACGTGAGCAGACCTATCAAAGATCATTGGATGGGTGTTAAGCGTGTTCTACGATATTTAAAAGGAACAAAACGTACTATGGAATTAAGTATACAGCTAATAATGAAAATCCAGAGTGGGTTGGTTATTCTGATTCAGATTGGGCGGGAGACATTGATTACACGTCGTTCAACTTGTGCATTTCAACTTAGTAACAGTGTTATTAATTTAGTAATTATTTGATGTATACGATTCCCTAGCTGTGAAGTAGATCGATTTTCACAAATATCGAAGAGTAAGAGTATTTTAGGATGCGATCTAATGGGCGGGGCTGATAAGATTTTGTCATCAATAAAGGAGAACAAATTCAGTCATAAGTCACATTTGGCAGTCAATATGAGCTGTCTAGTAATACTATATCACTAGAAGTATTTAACAAATCAAACTTAAGTAAATACACATAAAATAGACCTTCCCTAATTTTTTGCTTCTACGAGGGGGGCGGGGGGGGGGTATAAGTGACAGTTATGTAGCCTAATGGTATTCTGACTCGTTGGCCAATTTAAGTATTTTGCATGGTTGTAGAAATTTTCCCCTCTTAGGAAACGTGGTATACATGGGGAGGAGGTGAATAGGGGTATACAAATCCGCCGATCCGCCCAAATTTGAAGCAAAATCCGTGATTTGAAAATGGTCTTGTCTAAATTTGAATCCGCTAAAAGCTCTACTATGAAGTCGCAATCCAATATTAGATAAATCCGTTGTATTAATAAGATCCGCAAATCCGTGTAAAATATTCGCCAGATCCGAAATCCGAACAATTTTTTCTGTGAAATCCGACGATCCGAAAACCTATTGCCTTGAAACGACAGCATATCTGTCGGTGGTATGTTGATTTCCCCATGGTGTTGTTGTCGCTTGTCAATGGTAGTGGTTCTGTCTTTCAACTGCTTCGGATCCTATGGTTAAACTGTTGTTCAATTTCTAGGCTCCATTAGAGATCAAACTGGATGATCGCAACAAAAAGAGATATAGCTGAAGACGCTTGGGGATCATATACTACACCTGACTGCGGTATGCATTTAAATATATTTTTATATAATACCTTATTGAATTCTGATCGTTTAATTGGCTGTTTATGGTCACGTGATATTGAATAGAAAATTCCATTTCCCAAGAGTGCAATGGAATACGTTCCATTGCACTCTTTGCGAGTGCAATGTACTATACGTTTTGTTCCATTGCACTCTTTGTGTTTTCGATAAATCGCATCCGTCAAAATGCTTCTCGTACGGTGATCGCAGTTTATTTTAACCCGATATTCGAAATTCAGTACTTAAATGGGATTTAATGCAAATACGACTCGTCAAAATGGCGAAAGCTTACAGTAAGCCTTTTAATATTAGTCTATTTTGGTATTATATAAAACAAATAATGAATGTTATTATTCGTGCAATGGTAAGAATATTTTCATTCGGTGAAAGATGGAATGTTCCATTCAACTCGGCTGTCGCCTCGTTGAATGAAACATTCCATCTTTCACCTCATGAAAATATTCTTACCATTGCAGTCATAAACATTCATTATTTGTATAACATTACACAAACTTATTGGTCAGTTTAGAAAGACTGGTTCTTAATTTAAAATGTTGAGATCTATACAATTGTGATCAAAATCTATTTGGTAATATTTAGGTATTGAAAGAACTTTGCATTGGTTGCGTGGCTCTCGCCAAGGTAAACTTAAATAATCCTTTACAATGCATTTTCGTTAACTTAGCAGTTCCAAAATCAACACAAAGTGTTCAATTACGATGGCCTTATCCTCATTCCAGAGGTTTTTATTAAGAACGGCGAGGCAAAAGAAACGCGAAGAAAGAAAAGCCGGTGTCGGTACTGCTCTCCCAAAGAGTGTCCCCTTCCCGCCACTAGCGGGTTGTGTCTTCTCGGTCAGTATCCAGTGGCTTATACTGTCCCCCTGCAGCATCATGGATAATGTCCCTTCTCGCGTATCCGGTCCCCCTCGCCAACTATACGTTCACTTGCCCGGGCGATTGTTGTTTGCGATTTTCTATTTCTCGCCTATGTGATCTGCAAATTTTAAATTCTATATGATCTGCAAATTTTATACTAACTGTGATCTGTAAATTTTATACTCAATGTCTTAATTTAATATGTTGGAATTAAACCTGAGTGGTTTAAAGAACTGGCAACTCAGCAAGACAACCGATACATACAGATACATTAAGACACATTTTGTGGCATATAGGAAGCGCTCGAACGATCTAGAGGCTCTCTAAATTTACCTAGAGGAAGAGGCGAACCTCTAGATTGCACAAGGAATGACATAGCTCTTCAGCGAGTTGAGTCCTGATGGTCTCGGGCCACCATTGCTATACTGAGACAGTAAGGGTACTCACGACCTGATAGAGCGTGCAAAACTGTAGGTTTTTCTAGAGGAACAGGTGAACCTCTGGATAACTGGTAAACTGACCCCGTTCTTGTCAGTCAGCTCGTTGATGTTGAGTACTAGTATAGGACTGGTGACCAACTATTGGTATATGGGATACTCAAGGTCATTAGCTCGCATTTACGACCTGGATGACCTGTGCTATGCACTTCACGTGGCGAAGTGTAACAAAAATCCTGGGAGAAAAGAGGACCATTGAATGCGTATATACACATGAAGGAAAAACCCAGGAAAAACCTTCAGCGGAATTTGTGATTGGTTATATAATATAGACTACATCAGTTGTTCACATGCTAAGTTGCCAAAGTTCGATTCTTTCTGGCATTTATAAATATTCACAGGCTAAAATTAGGAGGTGCACAGTCATATCGAAACATATCTCATCCAAAAGATCTAAAACTTTGCCATAGCTAGTTGCCTTTCACGCATATTAAACTTTATTAAACTTTTTCTAAAGAGAATGTAAGAAACAATTATGTGTGTGATCACATTGCATGGCAAAAAAGTACAAGTTTTAGAGGTCGCGCCTAGGACTAATGTACGTCAAATTGTTTAGACTTTGATTGTTCTAATACGTTCGAAACTTGCATCCTATGAATTCAAATTGCGTTTTAAACCTTACATTTTTGTGCGCAAGTTATCTGTAAAGTGGTTTTGGAAAACATCCCTCTTGCACCGGAAAATTTACTTTTCAGAATAATTTGGTCATAGAAATAACAGAAGATCCCAAACCACCGATACTAACATAAAGTCGTTACAAATTGTGCGCAGTTTCAATTTAGTGGACATTTTAGAGCTGTGCATTTTTTATGCACCCTCTATAATAACCAGAAAGTCCACAAACATCCTCATTTATATACTGTGTTTTTAGATTTTATCGACTCATTCTCGCGTAAAGACTACAAAGATGAAAATACTGTCAAGGTAATTAAAAGTGGTCTTTAGACGATTTATGAACATCGAGCACACTTTCTTAGTGCCGCGATAGACAGGAAACAAAATCTTTGATTTATATTAAAAACACTTGTAAATGGTAAAATATTTAGCGGCAGCAACGAACCACAACTGAGAAAGCCATCTTGTTTTAAACGGGGGAAATTCAATGTTTTGTGCTCGCCATAAAGTATAAAATAAATGAGTGAAAAAATGCCCAAAATAATCCTGATGACAAGCGATGCTTGCCACACTCATCAGGTGAATTTAAATGTTGCGCTATGTTGTTGCCAATGTGATATATACTGTATACGTGTTTGACGTAAACGGAATGCTCAAGTATTAGATTACATATAGATTACATATTATATTAATCATATTCCTACTCTGAATACTATAATTCTTCCCTCAATATTCATATTCCTAACAAATATTCATGTGCAAACTACTTTAAAACCCAGTATTCAACATTCCACTTGCTCGAAACCTGTGCTTAAGCTGTCTTACTCAGCTCATGAGCACACTTACTCAGGTCAAAAATTGTTCCAAGATGGCGCGGACACTTCATTATTTTTAATCGAAATATTTCAAGAAGTAGCCTATAAGAGGTTTTCTGTGCGATTTTAAAGTTCTTTCAAATAAAACAAATTAAAATTTTTTGCCATACTGTATCTCATTAATTACACCCACTTAACATGAATAAATTTTCTACGACAAATGTTTTTGACAATATTGTTGTTTTTTGCGCTCAAGTCCAATCTGTTGCAAATTGTTCACAATTTGTGGCAAATTATCCATGACCGAAAACAGCCAAAGTTTCTGTGTACACGAGAAAAAAGTCGTCGTAGAAAATGTGTTCGTGTAGAAAGGGCTTTTGACAGAAGATGGCAAACATCTAAATAATAAAAATATATTTGTTTAACAGTCAGACCCAGCCGAGCTGATTGAAACTGCAAAACGGGCTTTGGCAAAAGGAGAATTAGAGATTGCTGAAAATTATTCGATTAAGGCCATACGCACAGTTATGTTGGACAACTCATACAAAAGAAATCCAGAGCCGTATCGTTGCTTAGCTGAAGTCCTAGAGAGGAAAGCAGCGGACAGGAATTTTAAGTTGCCGCAGAGACAACGATTTCTGCTTCAAGCTGCAGCATTGTATAACTTTGTGCGCAACTTTTTAAAAACAGAGGACGTGGAAGCCGAACTGTCGAAAACGTTGTCGAAAATCGTTTCTCGTAAGCTACTTGATATCCAAGACAACATGGTTGAAATGGTTGGAGGAAATCCTCTTTATTGTAAGTTTGATTCAGAGCTTAAACAAAATGAGTTGAAAAATTTTAGGAATGATGTAAAACAATCGTTGGTGTCTATGGAGTGCCGTAGATCGTCTAAGAACCAAGAATCAGTAAAAAAATGTGATGTGCGACAGATGCTGAAAGATGAAATCAAGGAGATAGAAGGACTATCTGACACAATTTCGGTTAGAATGAAGCAGTTCTTGGCAACGATAATTAACGAATGTTTAGAGTTACTTGGAACACCACCTTGTGCTCATGAAGTCATTGTCCTTGGGTCTTTAGCAAGAAATGAAATGACGCCATACTCCGATTTCGAATGGGCTATTCTCACAAATTCAGAAGAGGAAAAATGTAAAGTTTTCTTTCGAAATTTAACAAACTTGGTTCATTTGCAGGTAGGCAAAGTTTTGTAGTCGTATAACTTTTAGTAGCCTTCTGTTTCTATATCTTATTAAGCCTCGTTTTCATTGATAACTTTTATTTGTGCACGACAAAAAGTTGACATTTTTTCTTTGTCAAGTGGAGCCTTTTCCAAAACTAGTCAAGGCAGCTTTTGCACAAGAAAATCTGTTCGTGTGTACGGCCGAGTGTAGAAGACATTGACGAATGTACAAGGAATATTTTTATGGTTTTGGGAAACAAAAGGCAGGCTTGACGTGAGATAAATGTTTAACAACATTCAGAACTTACAACAAAACTTGTTGGGCTTAAATCCTATTTACTAAACGTACACTATTCGACATTTGTTCGTAGATATCAATTATGAATGATGCTTAAATATATTAGTTTCCGCCCATATGCATTCACGCTGTTCCCCGATTGGCTGTCCCTATATTAAGACAGCCTGAAAGTAGCGGAAACCTTATTTGAAGTTAATTGCAATAAAGCGTAAATCTGTAATACAGTAGTTGAGGGGACGAAAATGGTGGGGAGGGGATAGGTGAAAAAGTATAGAATAAACAAAGGAGGAAAGGAAGGCATTTATAGCGATAAAAAACAGGGGTGAAGCGAAGGGTGGGAGCAGGGAAAAACAAAAATAAGTGGAAAAGAATCCAGGGTAGGGAAATACCAAGCAGGAAATATATTTGAGCAATCAGCTTATCTTTACCGTGTTTTAGATTATCAATCTTGGAGAAACCATTTTACCTAGTATGAATATCGAAGCAATTAAAGAGGCATGGTTTTATGATGACATAACAACAAGAGGAGTTTCGTTTGATGGATTTCTTCCACAAGCGTGCAAGACGCCTTTGGGAAATATGCCTGTAGGAAATATGCCGAAATTTGAGCTGATTCATACACCAGAGAAAATGGCAGATTTTCAGAACAACGATTGGTATCGCAAGAATTGGAAATTAGGAGACACCTTGTTGACCTTTTCCCCTTTGCAACCGGATAAACATATACTGGTTGATGCTTATCGAACGCAGATGGCTGAAATCTTGTCTTGTCCTTGTGATTCAGAATGTTGTAAACATGATGCTTCGTGTGGTGCTTGGCCTACCCGGGGATCCTGCCGAGGGCTGAACACTCTTTGCGAAGATGTGTCTCGTTATGGGGATGTGATGACGGGCAATAACGACTTGGACGATGGGAAATTTTATGATGTCAAAAAGGAAATTTATCGTTTGACAGATCGTGTATTTGCTGCACTGGCGAAATGTTATGAAGTTGATGGAAGCGGAACGTTTGCTATACTTGACGAACTTTACGGGAGGGAAATAATTTCGTCTGAAGCAAGAGATAACTTTGCAAGTGCTGCGGCCATTGCAATTAAGCTAAGAATAAGTACTTATCTTGAAGCTGGAAGACAAGGGGAACAGCTCATGGCAAGTTCAAACGAAGAAACAGGGACTTCCGTTTACTATATGCCAAGTAATGAAAAACTGTTTCACTTTTTCTTTATTGCCATTCCTTTGTATGAAGAGTTACAAAAGATCAAGCCAGCAGGAAACATGCCGCCGTCGCTTACACATAGTTCATTCTATGACGATTCTGACGTCACGATGGGTCATATATATTGTCGCTTGTTAAACTACGACGAAGCTCTTAAATGCTACGACCGTACTCTTCAACAAGATCCAGAAAACCTGGGTATTGAAATCCGTCGAATAAGTATTGCACTTTGTATCACAAAGGGCACAGAAGAGATGGATAAGATTCGAGAAAATTTGGACTCTTTGTTGTGTAAAATAGACCAACGTTGGTCCGAACTACATCAGGAAACCACGCAATTTGTCAATCGCTTGGACGTGGAGGAAAGTCGGCAATTGATAGAAGTATTGCTTTCCTCTTCTTCGTTTTTTGGTGATCGAAAATATTTTAAATTGGCAAGCACGATTCTGTTCCAATTTCTGGACGTAGAGGGAAGCAAACGCAGTGCTGCAAGAGAACTACTCATGATGAAATTTGCGTTTATAAAACATTTTCCGAAGAGTATTATTCAGCAACACAATATTGACGCCGTAATTTCTGAAATGACATCTTCGATTGACGAAGAAGGTGTGAGCACTAAAAGTATTCTGTGGTTAAATACGTTTGGTGAGTTTCTATTTAATCAGGGTCTAATTGACAAAGCTTATCGTTGTTTTCAAAGAGCATTGAGTATGGAGCGCTTCCTCTACGGAACCAAACCAAACGTAAATATGATGACATCGTTACGTTTTCTTGGGAGGACCTCAATGTGGTTGCTCATGTATAGGGAAAGCAGATTTTACTTCGAATCGTTGATGCAACAGTTTGAATCATTTGGCGGACCCGCTGGATTAATAATTAAGGATACTTATCTCCAGCTGGCATTGTTGAGTATCGAAATGGGATATTCTGCCGAGGAATCTCAGTGCTACCTCGAAAAAGGTTTGAGGACTGCCACAGACAGCGGAAATGACGTAGTTTTATCTTTAGATTGTGCCCTCTACTGTAAACTAGCAGTTACATGGCATGTTAAGCACAACCAAGAACAAGCTTGGAAGTCTGTTTCGGAAGGAAAAGCCTGCCTGACAAAAATTGCTGGAGTAAAACTCAGAGTAAAACTGACTTGTCTGCTCGCTGAAACCTTGGCTAAAATCAAGGAAAAACACGACGGAAAGACAATATTGGAAGAAGAAGTTCAAAAACTTACATCCCAGTCTCAAGAAAAGGCCTTGTGTCTGATGAAGCTTGGTAAGCTTTGTTTTGAGCAAGGTTTGGCGTCAGATGCTGAGAGTTATTACAGACAAGCGTTAGAGGTTATGGTTGATATGCAGGAAAATAAAAATATTTTTGACATCTTGGAGTGTCGTATTGCCATTTCGAAAGCCATTTTAATGGACAAAAGGGAATCTGAAGCAAAAAAGGTTTTGGATCAAACTTTCATTTTCGTCGAAAAATTGCCTGCGAGTTGGAAAAAAATTTCTTTTGTTCAGGATATGGGAAAATTGTACGAAAATCTTCGTGATAAAATTCGTGTTCGACATTGTTTTGGTGCTGCCATAAGAACGTACAGAGAGCTACCGAACGCCGCCAAGATATTCCCGCTCATGGGTGTTTCTTTAGAGCAGAAGCTTGGAAAATGGGCCGAGAACGCTTGTGCTATTAGTTCAGTCGACCCTGAAATTGCGATGCAGGCTCAGCGAAGTCATTATGATCGAGCGGCTGAAGAATTACGGCAACATGTAGCAACGGGACAAGTTGACTTTTCAACTGTTGAAATGTTTTTATCATTGGTTTTACAATACACGTCAGTAGACATAAGTGAGAAGAGAAGACTTTTGTTGGAAACTTTGAAAGTTAGCGAAATAGTATACGGAAAAAATAGATCAAATGAGATCGTCACCAAGGTACTTGAACAGCTTTCAAACACGTACTTGATGAGAGAAAATATGCAAGACGCTATAAAATATAGAGAGCTTCTAATAACGATGGAGATGGATCTGCATTCATCAAACCCATTTCATGAACATATATTCCAGAGTTTGATGTGGTTGGCCTCTTTTTCCTTCAAATATCCTGTCGGTGTTGATACTGTCGAACGTGCTTACGAATTCCTTCTATCTGCTCAGAAGGACAAGGCTTCAGAGAACAGTACCGCAAAAGCAGCCGCTGTCAGATGTTTCACTTCCCTAGGCGTATTATTCTGTACTTTAGGTGACCCGGAAAAAGCCGAGACTTTGAATGAGATGGCAAATCAGTTATTTAGCAAAATTCACGAAAGTGTTGAAAGAAAAAAACTACTTTGCAAAACAACGTGCGACATCATGAAAGAAATTTTACCATCGAAGAAAATATTACCGTCAGATAGGAAAAAACTTTCCGCATCTATTCGGAAAGCATTTGTTGCTTTGCCGCTACAAGATACCTTTGCTGAAGACTTAAATACTTTGGAGAATTGTAGCAATGGTCGTGAAAATGTGAAGTTCTTCACTTAAAATCCCAATGCTGTCAAACCTCGAGAAATTGGCTTTTTAGATCCTAAAACAATGGACCTGCTGACGCAAACAGTGTTCCAAGTTAATCTCCCTGTTGAAATTGAAACATTTCCTGATGCTTCACTCAATCCAGAATCATCTAACCTGGAAGTAAAACGACTTTTACTTCGTTCTCTGTTAGATGCTCTCGAGCATAACCGGAAGAAAGGCAATATCCATCAGGCTGTAAAAATACACACTTCTCTTCAAGCCCATGAATTATCTTTTTATGAAAGCTGTTCCTTTGATACTGTTGAAAAGTTAATCAGCGAGGCGATCAGAGCAAAGGAAGACAATAGATTTAGTAGTGGTATTAGATATTTAGATATTGGTTTGCAGCTACCATCTAATTGGAGACGAAAAACCAAATTTCTTGAATTGCGTGGGGAATGTTATTTATCCAGGGGCGATTTCCGAACCGCTGCAATTAATTTCAATGAAGCCGTTTGCGTTTATTCCATTGAGACAGTAGAAAACCGTGATGACCTGTGTGAATATTCAGAAGTGTTGATTGGTTTAATAAAAAGCGAGATGCTGTGCCAGAATGTAGCAGGTGCATGGTTGAAATGTCAAGAGGCGATAAAACTGGTACTTGATCATGAACATAGGGAATCCATACATCTGCAAGCGATAGAGTTGCTTTACCTTGGAGCAAAATGCCTGGATATTTTGTCAGACAGTGCAGAAAGTAAAGATGATAAGCTTGCCCAAGCTTGCTGTTTGTGTCAACAAGCTCTGATCTTGTGCCAGACAAGGCACGCCATTGAGCAAGTGGAAGAACGTGGAAGCTCGAGACAAGAAGAATTTTTAGCCTTGAACTGTGAAGTGCAACTGTTGTTGGCGGTCGTTTTTCAAAAGTTACATGAAGAAGAAGAAGCTGATAAAATTTTCGAATCTCTTTTTGCTAATTCTATGGTTGGAGACAAGACTGAATTTCTAACAAAATGTCTTCGCCGATATTCATGCATTGGTCGAGTGTTACTTATCCGTGATGATATAAAGTCATCTATTCCTTGGCTGAGTAAGTCACTCTTGGCGTTTTTCTCGGTTGCTCTTCCCGATATGTTGTCATTTTATGAAGAATTTCTTCCTTTGCTGCAGGCAATCACTGTTACCAAATCTAGTGGTACTAGTCACGAAAGTCGCTCTCCGTTTCAACAGGCTGTTGATATGTGCAAAGAAGTGTCGGTAAAGCGTGGCAATGATTTAAACAACATCTACGAGTTTTTAAAAACTTTGGCAAATCTCTACATGGGCCTCGGGCGCACTGAAGAAGCAATTGTTGTAGCAGAAACTGGTTTTGAAATATGCGATTTGATGGGGGGTAACAATGTCACTGATCGAATAAACAATCGCTCCAGAATGTTACTTTGTCTGGCCCAAATGCACCAACTAAATTCAATTAACTCGGCCTTTGATAGAAATACGGAGCTAAAACTTGCAGAACAGTATTATCGTACCGATCAAGGCTCAACAGCGGAACTTGTACTTCAAAAGAATCTAAGCTACGCCAACTTTTTATGTGAGCAAAAGCGTTTCGAGGAGGCTGATGCTGTGCTTCAGGATATGAACAATTTAGGCAAAGAATTGTCGGATAAGTCTGTCTATTGTGCCTATTTTTCACGTGTCTTTTATGGTCCGGGCATACAGAAAAGCGTCGAAGTTGACGGCGAGCTATTGTCAACTGTTGAACATTGTATGTACAGCACAATGGTCCGAGTGTTTGTTGGATTGGGAAAGAAAAGAGAAGCAGTCTCTGCGTGCGAGAAGCTGACAGCCAACCCAGTAGTTGTTCATGATGCAATTCACGGGGAACGTCCTTCCAGTATCCCATACATGATAGAGGCCTGCCATCGCGAGTTGTTGTCGCTTTTGAGCTACGAAGACCAAAAACAACTTCACAATTGTGAATTTCCGTTATCTCCAGCAAATATATTCAAATTGTATTACATGCTTAACGAATACTCCTTGGCATTAAAATACTACACAAACGAGACGCAATCACCCGATTTGGTCGAAATGAGGATGTCATGCTTGCACTTAGCTGGAAACGAGTTAGTGAAAATGGGTAGAGGAAATGAATCAGATTCATATTTCACGCAGTTTTTTGCAATACTTCAAACTAAAAACGGATTTCTGGACAAGCCCTTTAATGCCCAATGCACAATCCTCGAACGATATTCTTTTGCAAATCAATATTATATTTTCCGCTCGTTGGGGGATATAATGGCACGCGAAAGAAGGAATCTTGATAGTGTAATTAAGTGTTATGAACGATGCCTTGAACTGGATGAAAATTTTACCATTGACCAAAACCTTGTGGCAATCCTGGCTGAACTCTATCAATCAAAAGCGTTAACAGGTGATATAGAAAACCGAGATTCTTGCAAACGACAGAAGAACCGTGCTCTTAATTTGTTCAAAAAGCTGCTTCAAAAGACTGCTGAATTGACACCATTTGTAGAATTCTTGTTTGGGTCATTTTTGTTGAAATTGGAACGTTATCATGAAGCTGTTGAACGTTTTGAAAATGTTATTAAAAGAGAGGATGACTCATGTATGTCCAGTACGGGCGTAGACAAGCCGTTTTTCGACGTTTACCTTCGTCGTGAAGTTAAAGCTAGTGGCAGGATTAGCATTTCAGTGAAGGTCCACGCTTTCTACGAGTTAATTTTAACGTATATGACATTGCATGAAGTGGGAAAAGCCCAAGAAATTGCGCTTCGATTGGAGAATTATGTTGAACGTTTTCAGTGCACTTCATATTATTCTGCGGCTCTATCTATTGTAGGATATGCTTACAGACTAATTGGAAACAAAGGAAAAGCCTCGGAGATATTTGCTTCGGTATTGGAGATCATGCCAAGACATTTATGCAGAACAATGGTCAGATTGTTTGTTGAAATGGGAAAGAAAAGAGAAGCAGTCGCTGCGTACGAGAAACTGACAGCCAACCCAGTAGTTGTTCATGATGCAATTCACGGGAAACGTCCTTCTATTACCCCATACCTTATCGAAGCCTGTCATCGCGAGTTGTTGTCTCTTTTGAGTGACGAAGACCAAAAACAACTTCAGAATTGTGATTTTCCGTTGTCTCCAGCAAATATTTTCAAATTGTATTACATGCTTAACGAATACACCTTGGCCCTGAAATACTACACGAACGAGACGCAATCACCCGAGATGATCGAAATGTGTAGGACAATGTTCCGAGTGTTTGTTGAAATGGGAAAGAAAAGAGAAGCAGTAGCTGTGTGCGAGAAGCTGGCAGCTAACCCAGTAGTTGTTCAAGATGCAGTTCACGGGAAACGTCCTTCCAGTATCCCATACCCTATCGAGGCCTGTCATCACGAGTTGTTGTCGCTTTTGAGTGATGAAGACCAAAAGCAATTTCAGAATTGTGAATTTCCGTTATCTCCAGCAAATATTTTCAAATTGTATTACATGCTTAACGGATACTCCTTTGCACTAAAATACTACACGAACGAGAAGCAATCACCCGACTTGATCGAAATGAAGATGTCATGCTTGCGCTTAGCTGGAAATGAGTTAGTGAAAATGGATAGAGGAAAAGAATCACATTTACACTTCAAGCAATTTCTTGCAATGCTTCAAACTAAAGAGGGATTTCTGGACAAGCCCTTTCCTGCTCAATGCGTAATCCTTGCACGATATTCTTTTGCAAATCAATATTATATTTTCCGCTCGTTGGGATGGATAATGGCATGTGAAAGAGGGAATCTTGGTGGTGCAATTCAGTGTTATGAACTATGCCTTAAACTGGATGAAGATTTTACGCTTGACCAAAACCTTGTGGCAGTCCTGGCTGAACTTTATCAATGCAAACGACAGGTGAAACTTGCTTTTAATTTGTACCAGAATCTGTTCCAAAAGACTGCCGAATTATCAATATTTGTAGAATGCTCGTTTGGGTCACTTTTGTTGAAATTGGAACGTTATCATGAAGCTGTTAAACATTTTGAAAATGTTATTAAAAGAGAGGATGACTCATGTATGTTCAGTACGGGCGTAGACAAGCCGTTGTTCGATGTTTATCTTCGTCGTGAAATTGAAGCTAGTGGCAGGATTAGCATTTCAGTGAAGGCCCGCGCTTTCTACGAGTTAATTTTAACGTATATGAAGTTGAATGAAGTGGAAAAAGCCCAAGAAGTTGCGTTTCGATTGTAGAATTATGTTGAACGTTTTCAACACACCCCAAAGACTTCTCTGGCTCTGTCTGAAAACTAGTCGGAACAAATTAAACTAATTGGAAACAAACAACAAACTAATTGGAAACAAAGAAAAAGCCGCGGAGATATTTGTTTCGGTAGTAGATATTATCCCTGGATATTTACCAATCCGGCACAGAAGCATTGGGAAGCCTCTGTGTGTGAGGCTGGACAGGATGTGAATAACGTAATTGTGAATAACATAAATCTTACTACCTTGCGACTAGGGCTGCTCCCAATTAATCGATTGATCGATTAATCTAATCGATGATGTTTTCCGCAATCGATTATACTTAGAGGAGAATCTTTTGTATGTAACGTAACACGCGCTCAAACTAACGAACATACTTTTCTACTTGGTTATGACTATATTCAATTTTTAAAATTTTTGAACCGTTTTTCAAGCGACATGCAAACAAACTTTCAAAGTGTGTTTAAGTGCTTTATCTGTAAAAGTATCGTCATTTTCCTGTCAATTGCGGTAAAATGTGCGCAATTTATAACTTTGAGTAAACAATAATTTCAAACGTAAATACTGACTGAGTTGTTGGATGAGGGAGGCATGCTCATGTCAGCATGTCAAATTTAAATAAATTAATCAATACAATTAATCGATATTAATCGATCATGAAAATAAAACGATGGGAGCAGCTCTACTTGCGACGCGAATGTTTGAATTTACTGGTCCACAAGTACAAATGTAAAAACGCGCAAGCTGTTGGAAAGGCTGGATGTTCAAAGCTGAATTAGCGCAAACCCTCGGTTAAAATTTAGCCAGTTGTTTTATAGTTTCTGTATTTCTGCGCGACTGTTTATTTCTAAACGTTAAGGAAAAAAAAACATCTACTGAACCGCAAAAGATTTCTCAAGAAATATTTCCAAGTTAATAAACAAGCTGTTGGGGGGTTTGGTTTGAATTTGAGGTTAACCTAGGGTTAAGCTTAGCCAGCTTTTGAACAACCGGCTTCAGATCTGCAAACAAGTTGTAACAAGGTTGTTGTCAAGCAGATATCAGGATGTGACCGCACTGCTTGTGCCCAGTTGTTGTGACAAGTCTGGAACAAGTTGTTATCACCTTGTTACAAGGTTGATGACGGTAACACACTTGCTACAAGTTGTTTCAACAAGAGTACTATACAGGCTGTTCGTAACGAGTTGCTACGAGCTTGTCGTCATCAGACTGTTGGAACAACTTGTTGCGAATCTTTTAGCCTCATCATTTGTTAGAATTTAAAAATAGTTTCTGTTTAGCATCAATTTATTTAGGAAATGGCTGAGAAAATTGGTAAAATAGAATGTAGAACTATACTGCCCGAATGCCTCGAAAAAGTTTTTTAAAACTAAACTTTTCACTTTACAAGTTTCGAAAACACAATAGAGCGTCAGGACACAATGAAAACATGACAAGATGATAACAACTTGTTCCAGACTTGTCAACAACTGGGAACAAGCAGTGCGAACACATCTTGCTGACAAGCTCCGAGACTTTTACACGTGTATGTGTGTCAACGTCACTGCAATGACGAGAATTGTACCAATTTATGCAAAAAGAACGAAAGCTATTGCACGTAAATGCTCCTCTGACATCCACAGCTACAACATCCGAAACACACAGAACTTACATTTGGAACACGTCGAGAAAAGATAAGCCGACATTCGGCTACCATGTTGTTAACGACTGGAACAGTCTGACTGTGGAACACCGGGAAATACGGAACAATTTGCATAATCGGAAATTGAACTTAACAGAAACATTTGACACTAGCTATATAAGACACTCTGCTGAAGTGATAGGACGCGATATAACATAGCGATATATTTAACAATACAGTAACTTCAATTATTTTTCTCTCAGGGCTCCACTGAAAATCACTTTGTGAGTGGACCTCCTGATTCAATATTGTAGTTATTATTATTATTATTATTATTATTATTATTATTATTATTATTATTATTATTATTATTAGTATTAGTAGTAACTCGTTTGTTTATGAATCGAATCTCTTCTTGTGGACACCACATCTCGTAAGCGGACACCATTCTTTGGTACCGAACGAACGTCTATAGATTATTTTAATAGCTGAATGGTCTTATAGGTGAAAATTATTCATAATTTCTATCCAAGTCCAGGAGGAGAAAGGGGGGTATCGTAACACGAGCAGGGAATTTATGAGAATATGTGACTTTGGTCAATCTTGGGGCGCTGATTTCAAAAATCGATGTTATACGGGCCAATACCGGGGCCTTCAGCCTCGTTTTGATGCATATAGCCTCGTTTTGGGGCATACATAGGGAACACGTTAGTTGTCTTAATTAGCTAGGGAAACCAGTGATTTTGGTCACTTTCGGTGCACTGATTTCAAAAATCAATGTTACACGGGCAAATACCGAGGCCTTCAGCCTCGTTTTGGTGGATGCAGCCTCGTTTTGGTGCAAATAGAGGGAAATCATTAGTTAACTTAGATAGGCAACGTCGTTGGTGATCTTGGTCAATTTCGGTGCGCTGATTTCAAAAATCGATGTTACACAGCAAAATACCGAGGCCTTCAGCCTCGTTTTGGTGCGTACAGCCTCGTTTTGGTGCCTACATATGTGCCTTAGATAGCCAAGGAAGTTGGTGATTTTGCTCAATTTCGGTGCGCTAATTTCAAAAATCGAAGTTATATGCGCAGATATATTGGAACCTCTAGCCTCCGTTTGATACACATATCCTTGATTTAGTGGAACTATTGGGAAGATCCTACTTAAACAAGCAAGAAAGCTAGTGATTTCTGCTCTTTTTGATAAAAAGCAATTCTGTCGCCCCATTAAATTGAGGTCATGTTATGCATGGCATTAAAAAACATGTACATTCTGATTACAAACCTTGCATTTTCCTTTTCAAAATTCACTCGTGTCTTCAATTTCCACATCCAAATCATCCTCGTAGTCATCATCGGAGGACAAACTGTTCTAACTCTCCGTGCCTGCGAGTAGCGCATCAATCTCCTCGGGATAGGGAATGTCACTCCAGACCACGTTTCCATCTCCGTCCCATCCATGCTCGTCGGGGCTCTCAAGTTCTACTAGAAGCTGATCGGCGTGTCAAAAGATGTACGCGACATAGTTAGCTCTCATGATGTGATGATATTTGACTGGCATGGTGGCATCAGACTTAGGTCGATGATCTTCTTCTCCTTGTTGAACTTGTTCCAAAATACTTTCTTCCTTGCCTCATTGACAGAAAGGATACTTGGATGCCCGTATATAGAACAGACGAACCATTCTAAACCCCGAACCAACTCCTCGCTTGCTGTCACCTCCGTACCCAAATGTGAAAATAGATCGATAAAGGCAGTGTTCTTGGTCACGGCTTTCCACACGGCCTGCTTTCTCCTTCGAAAAAAGCTAGATACATAATCGTTTCCGGAAAAGGCATGCATTCCCAGAAGAGCTTTTCTGTAACCAAGGGACAATTCAGTTGACGTCACGTCGATGATTTTCCTGTTCTTCCCGCTGCCATTGTCAGAATCTGCGTGTCCGAAAAATAGTGACCAATGAACAAGGTTATGTCTATATCACCAGATGGCGACCGTACCATTGCAGTTGAGCTAGGTGGCAATTGGCTAGTACGCACAAATGCAACGAGTTTCTTGTCCGCTTCCTCGCGGTCGCTGGTTAATTCTGGTAATAAACTCATTGCATTTGTGCATGCTAGCCAATTGCCACCTAGCTCAACTGCAATGGTACGGTCGCCATCTGGTGATATAGACATAATAACCTTAGCTTGTTCATTGGTCACTATTTTTCGGACACACAGATTCTGATTGACAATGGCAGCGGGAAGAACAGGAAAATCATCGACGTGACGTCAACTGGATTGTCCCTTGGTCACAGATGAGCTCTTTTGGAACGCATGCCTTTTCCGGACGATTATGTATCTAGCCTTTTTCGTAAGCAAAAGCAGGCCGTGTGGAAAGCCGTGACCAAGAACACTGCCTTTATCGATCTATTTTCATCCTTGGGTACGGAGGTGACAGCAAGCGAGGAGTTAGTTCGGGGTTTAGAATGGTTCGTCTGTTCTATATACGAGCATCCACGTATCCTCTCAGTCAATGAGGCAAGGAACAAGTTCAACAAGAAAAAGATCATTGACCTTTGTCTAATGCCACTATGCCAGTCAAATCTTCATCATCACATCATGAGAGCTAACTATGTCGCGTACATCTTTTGACACGCCGATCAGCTGCTAGTAGAACTTGAGAGCCCCGACGAGCATGGATGGGACGGAGATGGAAACGCGGTCTGGAGTGACATTTGCTATCTGGAGGAGATTGATGCGCTACTCGCAGTCACGGAGAATTAGAACAGTTTGTCCTCCGATAATGACTACGAGGATGATTTGGATGTGGAAATTGAAGACACGAGTGAATTTTGAAAAGGAAAATGCAAGGTTTGTAATCAGAATGTACATGTTTTTTAATGCCATGCATAACATGACCTCAATTTAATGGGGCGATAGAATTGCTTTTTATCAAAAAGAGCAGAAATCACTAGCTTTCTTGCTTGTTTAAGTAGGATCTTCCCAATAGTTCCACTAAATCAAGGATATGTGTATCAAACGGAGGCTAGAGGTTCCAATATATCTGCGCATATAACTTCGATTTTTGAAATTAGCGCACCGAAATTGAGCAAAATCACCAACTTCCTCGGCTATCTAAGGCACATATGTAGGCACCAAAACGAGGCTGTACGCACCAAAACGAGGCTGAAGGCCTCGGTATTTTGCTGTGTAACATCGATTTTTTAAATCAGCGCATCGAAATTGACCAAGATCACCAACGACTTTGCCTATCTAAGCTAACTAATGATTTCCATCTATTTGCACCAAAACGAGGCTGCATGCACCAAAACGAGGTGAAGGCCTTGGTATTTGCTCGTGTAACATCGATTTTTGAAATCAGCGCACCGAAATTGACCAAAATCACTGGTTTCCCTAGCTAACTAAGACAACTAACGTGTTCCCTATGTATGCCCCAAAACGAGGCTATATGAATCAAAACGAGGCTGAAGGCCCCGGTATTGGCCCGTATAACATCGATTTTTGAAATCAGCGCCCCAAAATTGACCAAAGTCACATATTCTCATAAATTCCCTGCTCGGGTTACGATACCCCCTTTCTCCTCCTGGACTAATACGATAACATCTTAATTACCATGAAAAGCAACATTTGTTGTGCGACATTTGTCACAGAGAGATCATTATCGATAATGACGATATCGTTATCGATAATGACGATATCGTTATCGTCAATGACGATATCGTATCGTAATGACGATATAATTATTGATGACAATATCGTTATCGTCAACCGATAATTTTATCGTTTTCGTTGTAGTGTGGACACCAACATAATTTTTTGACCACTGATCATCGCGTGTTTACAAGTTATCATATCGTAGTCGTTCTGTAGTGTGACCTGGGCTGTAAGTGTTACTAATAATTTCCTATTCCATGTTTGAAATTAGCGGATTTTTGCAGGCTATAGAGTCCCGTTAATCGCTTTTATTTAATAACATCTCTAATCTATTACACAAGGTTATTGAATAAATTACTAAATTACTACAATATCTAAAACGTTTACAAAAATTTCACAACCGAACAACAACATTTTTTTATTACAATTATTAGAACTCCATATTACATAGACATATAGTCATTTCACACTTAATTAGAATTAACAGAAAATAAAGTCGCTGGAGTCTGGACACCTAAAATAACTATGAAAGCTAATCTAGTTAGGTTCCCATTAAATATTACAATAATTATATCGCACATTTTTAATAATCTTAGATCGTAGAATAAAGAACTATATGAGCATTGAATAGACCTTTCCCCTTTTAAGTGAAATTTTGATCTAGACAAGTCTGGACAAAAATTTCACCACAGCTTGAAAGAGCATTACAAAATTAGTAATATTCCGAAGTTTCGTTGCGAATTGTTGTAAAATGCGGATAATATAGCCTTGCGAAATTTACCGTTTTTTAGTCATTTTGTATTACAAATGGGAAATTGATAATCAATTTGCCGTTTGTAATGCAAAATGACTGAAAAACGGCAAACTTCGCAAGGCTATATTATCCGCATTTTACAACATTTCGCAAGGAAACTTCAGAATATTACTAATTTTGTGATGCTCTTTCAAGCTGCGGTGAAATTTTTGTCCAGGCCAGTCTAGATCAAAATTTCACTTAAAAGGGGAAAGGTCTATTCTGAAAAAGTTACAATTCTAATCTTGTGTGTATATCTATGAAATGCCTATTAATTTTGCAAAGAATACCAATACTCCAATGTCCAATACCAATAATATATTTTCTTGCATATATGAACCCCCAAGGGTATTTTCATGATTAGCAATTATTCTTGCTTCGTGATTTAAAGAAATAGGGGTGGGGGGAGGTAGGGGGGGGGGGGGGGGGGTCGATGGTTTTTTCCGAAAACAAAACGTCCCAAAACCTTTTCCAAACACTAGTTTCAGATAATGGGGGCTTAAAAATACTTTTTCAGACCTTTTTCGACCTCAAATGTTTCAGAAAATTCCTTAATATTTAACACGGTTCACTTCATATACCTAAATAGTTCCGGCCCTGTTTATAGGTTTGGTATTCACGGACAACGAGGCTAGTGGAAACTAAATGTGGTTTCTTTTGTAGAACAATTTCAATTTGATAGAACAATTTCAACAAAACAAAATTAGTTTTGTCCACGTTTAGTGATAAGTTATTAGCACAGAGCCATGTATGTACTGAGTACTTTAACTAATTCCTCATTCATTATAGCTTCAAGTGTCAATATATTTTTGTTTGAGACGAATAAATTTGAATCATCAGCAAATAAATGAAAATCAAGAGTTTGTGATGATCTGTTGAAATCATTTATATGAAGAAGAAAAAGAGGTCCAAGAACTGAGCCTTGAGGAACTCCACATTCAATTTTATGATTCATTGAATTCGCACTGACCACTGTTTATTGAAACAAACTGCTTTCTATTATTTGGGTATGAAGTGAACCGCATTCTTTGCCCATTCCACGTATCCTATAGTGTTCACGTTTGTGAAGAAGAACACGTGGTTAACCGTGTTAAACGCTTTACCAAGATCCAAAAACAGGCCACAAGAAAGTAATATACTTTCAATAGCTCGTTGCACTTTGTCAACAATCATCAAGGTCAAGGTGCATGCTTGTGTTGTGTAACGATTACTAGTAGCCCGGAAACCAAATTGATTTCCATTAAGAATTTTATGTTTATCTATGAATTTTATCAGTCTTTTATACATTAATATTTCAAGAATTTTGTTTAAAATAGGCAATAGAGAGATAGGACGATAATTAGAAACCAAACCCCGATCACCATTTCCACATACAGGGATTACACTATCACTAATTAAAAAATTTCAATACTAAACTTTTCCAAAATTGATGAAATTTTACCAAAAGGAAAATAGTTTACCAAATCTAGTTACACTGCAGCAGGGTTTAATGGATAACATTATCAATGATAACCCATCTGCGTACGTAAAATCACTGATCAAACCGGGTGTTCAAAACTTCCTGATTAACTTGGTCTGCACGGCCATATAAAAACTGAGCAGCCTTATGAAAAGCAACCATTTTAATTATTTGAAACTTTATTAGAAAACACTATATTTTTTACAGATATAGGTTGATAAGCTACCGTGTATAAAGAATAATAAATAATAAAATAACTGCAGCTTAAACCCGTAAATCACGCAGTGAAATTTCTGTCGACGGCGGGGCAATCGAGATCATAGCGAACACCAACTGGGAACGAGGTTGAGCGAACACATTTGCCCTTGGCTCGCATGTGAGCCCGATGTCAGAAGGCCCTGGGAACGAGGTTGGAGACCAAGGGTTATGCATTTACTCGTTTAAGCGCTGCCCTCAACTAAGCGCCGCACATGAGACAGTATTGCACAAGTAACCTTGCCGACAATTCTTGTTATCGTATACAAATTAGCCCGCTCTCTTTACCCCGCCCTCGCCCCCCCCCCCTAGCTGCCCCCACCCTCGTGCCCGAAACATCGAAATTTTCCTTATATTTTTCAGGTAGTTGCATCCCTACCAACGAAAGCTTGTTTATTATTATTGGCACTACCTACACTGGTATAGCCTGCGAACAGCCTGTTCGCAGGCTAACACTGGTATATACTAAATAACATATTTTACGGAGCGCCGCCCTCATCAGCGCCGCATCTGAATACTAAAAATTTAAATTAAAGAGCGCTTAATTAAAGGATATGGCAATAAAAATTACTTTGTCTTATTTGAAAGAACTTTTAAAGTTATATACAGGGTGTATAAAAAGGAACTGAACAGATTTGAAATTGCTCTCAATTTCGCAAAACACCTATTTGTATCCGGTTTTTTATCTATATAGCTTCTTTGGGTAATGTAGGGTAATTTGGGTAATTTTTGGATAATGTAGAATAATGAAAAAAATTTCTCGAACTCAAATTTTGTGAACCAGGGGGGTGTGTCTTTCCAACAAATTAAAAATGGCTCGCGCACAAAATTTAAAAGTTGTAATCATATTTTGAGTTCACAGATAGAAACTTTGTCGGGTTTTTAATTACTGTACAAAATTTCAGACGATTTAGTTTAGTTTAAGCCCTTTAACTATTCACGCAGTTACATTTTTGCTAAAAATCAGCTATTTGCATGCTTAATTAATTAATGCTTTTGCCTAATTTGCATATGTCAGCAATATGCAAATTAGGTAAAGGCATTAATTAAGCATGCAAAAGGCTGATTTTTTAGAATAAAATAAATAGTTAAAGGGCTTAAACTAAACCAAATTGTCTGAAATTTTGTACAGTAATTAAAAACCAGACAACTTTTCCATCTATTAACTCAAAATATGATTACAACGTTTAAATTTTGTGCGCGAGCTAGTTTTAATTTGTTGGAAAAGACACACCCCCTGGTTCACAAAATTTGAGTTCGAGAAATTTTTTTCATTATTCTACATTATAAGTACCCAAAGAAGCTATATATATATATATAAAACCTGATACAAACAGGTGTTTTGCGAAATTGAGAGCAATTTCAAATCTGTTCAGTATTAACTGAGTTTTTGATGTTTTTAATAACGTTTCTTCGAAAAGTTTCCTAAAATGTTGTGAGTTGAGTACTAAAATAAAAAGACTTCGGAAAATCGAGTTTCATATATTGATAATGACATGTGGTTTGCAAGATAAAAATGTCGCTTTTTACTCTGCTTGTGACGTATGCATATTGAATGCATATCCAAGATGGCGGAATGCATGCTGCTTTTGATCAAAATAAGTCGATTTATTTCGAAAACCAAGCAAGATACGGAATAAATGTAAATGAAGTTTATATATCATTTTAAATGTTCTTTAAAAAAAGACAAACTTAATTTATATTGCCATATCCCTTTAAATGAATAAATTGTTCATGCACCAACAGGTACTACTGCATGGCCACGAGCAATGACACATGCATGTGCAAAGAAACATCCATATACACTCGACAAATGGAAGAACTTAATCATGTAAATAGGTCACACCTAATTGTTCAGGACAACTTGAGTAAAGGAAGCAATGAGAGCATTATTTATTAGCAAGACGTGAAAATTTTGTTTATATTCCCTTTGCGATAGATCTGACTTTGTAGTAGCCCCTTAGCAGTTAGCAGACAGCCAGGCACATGAAGTCACCAACCGCCTGCATACGCGATTGTGTGCACGATATTGGAACCTGCAGGTGGAAAAGTTATTGCTGTGTTCAATATCTTGATCCCAATATGTTTTAACCTGGAAAGCTGAAAATAACCTAAATGACTTCGATTGCAAACGACAGGTGACGAGTTTTAAGATAAATTTTGCCAAGTTATACCACAACCACTAATTAATATTTCTTTTCCCCAAATTGTAGGCGAGGGGGGGGGGACCTAAAAATGTTTTTCCAGACATCATATTATTCATCTTATTTTCGGTTAAACTGCCGTTGTTCGTTTCATTTCTCCCTAATATTTTCCCTGTCATTATTAATTTTTAATCACGTGCACCGTCACTCTAATATGTTATTATTTTCCTTCAGTATCCAAATTCGTGTTTTGCCGGCTGGGATTCAATATTTTGCCGACTACCTGATGACTGGGTGTTTCAACCTCCTTTAGCGCTTCCTTGTCAGTGGTACTTAGCCGATTTAGGTGTCAAAGTTACCGGAGATGATGTCATATCGACAATCTCTGTGGCCAATATCTGAGGATAATCTGCAATTCTTGATATGAGATCATCACCGCCGACATTGTTCACCGCCGACATTGTTCGGCAACTATGGCAGATAGAAATCCATGAAGACGAAGTCTTTGCTTGAGAAACTAGACTATATTGCAATGTTAAAAACCCTGACAACGATACAGGCACATTCTTTGTTAGTTCAATATATTCACGGACAAGGCAACATCTACACGCACTGGATTTTTACGAGCAACCGGGTGGAATATGTGCGAGTCTGTATAGATTTGTACCTGTGTTATAAAACGTTGGTCTACTAGTCTCAGGACTATTGCACCTGTAAAACAAGGCGTGAAAATGACATGGTCTACTATGCACCATTTTTAGTGGCAGAATAACACTTTTGGATTCAACTCCTTGAAATTTACAGTGTGGCGACAACAGTGAACTTTTGATGATTATTAAATATTAATTTTCATTTGCGTGATTATATATATGCACATATAAACATAGCTCTAAACTTACATGATAGTTACTACCACTAACAGTAATTATTATGCTTGGATTTCATATTCATTGATTTGGAATACCCGAGTTTTGATTTCTTGATCTTTCACCAGAAGTCCCTATTTATTTGGAAACATATATAGTATTAGTGGATGAATATATGCAGGGTTGTTAAGGTCTCTTTTAGACGTCCTATTTCTGTCGAATTTAACTCTCGGATCAAACGAGGACGAGACAGACTTGAATATTTCCCTAGCTTTATTGGGCGAGTAAAGATGAGGAACCGCGCGAAATAGAGTTGGCAGGCATGCGACCTTGGGGTTATCTGTTCTTAATGCTTTCCCAACACTATCATGTATTCTATCTAAATTAAAACGTTGTTGGAACACTCATCAAATCTTTATTTCGTTGATCTAGAGCTTGAAATGTCCCCGTAACAATGCGTGACTGCCAACTCTCATCAACTTACTCTCATTCTCGTTTGACCGGGGCTTAGTTCGTTGAATTTATAACTGACACTTCTTAATTTCGAAGTTGATTACAGCAATTGTGCGACGGAACCATAGGGGGCTCAACTGCTGTCAGTAACCAGTGTAAAATAATCAAAATAATAAACTACTTTAAAAGATTTGCATAAATTCTTCGCAACAACATCGATAAATATATTATGAATAGAGAAAGAGCAAAAAATGATCTATATGAAGTACTGCAGAATCCTCAACAGTTAAGTAATGCGGGCGCGTAATGGAGGTAATAGCATAATTAATAATATAAACGTAGAGTTTATAGCATGGCGAACCAGAAAAGTGTTAGATATTCAGTTAGTATATCATATTTTACAAATATAGCGGTTCAAAATGTAAACAAAGGGTTTGTTTACATTACGGACTTTACAGAATCTTTAATGTGTTGCAACAAATTAAATTATTTAAAATGTCCTTTTTTTCCTTTTAAAATGTCCTTGACGGAAATTCGGCGTCTAAAACTGGCCTAAGAAGGTACGTTATACGGTGAATGAATCTGCTCGTTGCTGTTCAGCACGATAATCTTTAGGTTCTTAGATAAACTAAACTGATCTTACGGTTATTATCTTCGCCAAGAGGTTACGTTTTCACCTGGGTATGTTTGTTTGTTTGGGTGTTTGTCTGTCACCACGTATTAATACGAAAATTTGTGGAACTATAATGCAATAGTCCAAGAACATATCCATTAAATTTTAGTTCAATTTGGATGAAAACTGGATGAGAAATAGACCTTTCCCCTTATGAGTGAAATTTTGATCTAGATATGCCTGGACAAAAATTTCATCACAGCTTGAAAGAGCATCACAAAATTAGTAATATTCCGAAGTTTCGTTGCGAAATGTTGTAAAATGCGGATAATATACCTAAGTTTGCCGTTTTTCAGTCATTTTGCATTACAAATGAGAAATTGATAATCAGATGATCAAACTGATTATCAATTTCCCGTTTGTAATACAAAATGACTGAAAAACGGCAAACTTAGGTATATTATCCGCATTTTACAACATTTCGCAACGAAACTTCGGAATATTACTAATTTCGTGATGCTCTTTCAAGCTGTGATGAAATTTTTGTCCAGACTTGTCTAGATCAAAATTTCACTCAAAAGGGGAAAGGTCTATTTGACGTTTGTCTTGTTTTCCTGGGCAGAGTAAACTGAATGCATAATTAGCCCATCATATAATTTATGCATGGGATACGTGACATAATTTGCTGGCGGAGGTATACAGTCTCTGAGTGCCCTTTAGTTATAAATATTTATAGAGGTGTATACCTTTCTTAGAGCTGCAAGTTGCTCCAAAATCTTTTCCTGGTGAGCAGTGGGAGTAAACGTCGCTAAAAGATGCTGGAAAAAGAAAGGATTACTTTAATTTTATACTTTACTTTTTATTTTATTAAGCTTTTATTATATAGATATTTGCTGCATCACATCAGTCAGTTCCTTCCGATTCATTCAAACCTTTGGGCATTTCTGGATGACTGATGCAAAGTAAAATCGCATGAATATAATAGAAACTATTCAACGACATTATAAATTTCTGATTCAAATCCACCATCTTGGATTTTGAATAAAAACTCTCTCCACGTATCTATTTTACGTATGGTGACAAACAACAGGATATACCATGTTTTATGGGGGGAGGGTGTTAATGTCCACTCCCTGTATAAATAACAAAAATAACAAAAATTACAATATTTACTGTATTTACAAGTTACATACTTACAACTTACTAGTATCAGAAGAAGAGATTTTATATATAGATGAACAGTTTATCTTTAGATTAATTAACTGTTTTTAGGTAAGAAGTCACATTGATTGCATGGATTTTCAATGCCTTTTTTTAACCTGCAGATTCCTTTGACGAGTGGGCGAAAAAGTCTAGAACTACTTGTCCCATATTGCATGATGTGAACAGTTTAATAAATAATATTGTTAGAGTCTGCAACACAGGCTAGATTTGCAAATGTTTTAACTCTTTTGCACTTGCACATTTTTCTTTGTGCTGCAGACGATATTTTTTACACGACAATAATTGCGGAAACTCCAAGATTCCAAATTAAGTATTAAAATAATATCCGGTACTTACACTGGGAATACTTGTCGTTTCATTTCCTTGACCACTGGATGATATATTGTTATATTTGTTCGTAAATCGATCATCAGATGTTTCCTCTGAAGTTAATATATGTGGTTTAGATTTTTGAACAGTTTGTTGAGGTCCTTCTACTCCATGTTTTTTACGGCGACTTGTTAGCGAAGAGTTTTTGCTACCTGTCCCTTTTTCACGTAATCGTGACGTTCTTGTTGCTTGTACCTCTGGAACTGAACGACCTTTTTTAACGCCTCTACGGTCTGGTAAATTCCCAGTAGCCTCTGAAAGCTCACTAATATTCTTACTTTCATAAACCTCTTGCGAGGCTAAAGATTCTCGGAATAATGTTGCACTTGCAGTTCTATGAAATGGCACTATAACCTCATTAGAAAGATTTGCTTTAGAATGTCCGTCATAATTCTGTTCTCTGTTTGTATTGAAACTACTAAAATCTTCATTCACCCATTTATTAATTAAAGTCTCTGATCTGTCCTTGTCTGCTTCTGAATATGATGTTTTAACATCGCGTACAGATATTAATGAATTCCGTTTCACATTTAATGTGGGATCAGATACTCTTGACGAAAATGTTCCGTTTGATTTGTTCACGGGAGAGATTGACGTTCTTAAGTTAAGAGGAGGAACCACATGTGTATTATCTTCAGGTTGATGTCGAGAACTATGGTCATGAGACACTTGTTGTCCACGTGTTTTACCAAAGTTGCCACCCTCATGACTGACTTTCACGGACACTGTAAAGTGTAAACGGTATAAGTAATTTCAATAGTATATTAAAATCAGATTGCATCTGCCATATTTATAACGTTCATATATATTCTTGATATATTTTTGACATACGGGATAAGACCACATGCGTAAGGGGTCGTATACTTGTCATGTACATTTGCTACAGATCGGTGGGTCATCCTCCCATACTCAGGGGCAGGTTATATCATAGTTAATAGAATAGATGGTCTGGAAACTCATTAGAATAACAATATAACTCATTATCTATGTTAGGTCAACGTTTATTCATAAATCTGGTCCTTCATCGTCACGTGCGTATTGTATTTTTTCCCAACTAACCAATAGCAATGTTTTAGGAAAGTTGCCTATCCGTGACTCGAACAATAGGGTAATTGAAAATTGCTATTGGTGGATTTGGTAAGAATACAATACACACGTGACAGTGAAGGAACATATTTATGAATAAACGTTGACTATATAGTCAACGTTTATTCATTATCTATGTTATAACATAGATAATGAGTTATATTGATATTCACCTGAGTACATTACACCAACACAGAAAAAAATCATGATTACTAGATTACATTGATATCGAAGGAACTAGACTCGATTCCGAAATATCACATACTCGAACCAACCTGACCGCGTAGCTCAGTTGGCAGAGCATTGGGCTAGTATTCCAAAGGTCGTAGGTTCGATTCCCACCGTGGTCAGGCATGTTTTTCAAGCCTGCCGGTGTGGATATACGCTCAGAGTAACTTCACAAGCATATAATGAGTTATATTTTATTCAGTTATATTTCAATGAATTTTCGTTTTCCTTTTCAATTTATATCACAGAATAACAATTTAACCAGAAAGCTCCAGTCTCCACATTACACTTGTTTAGCTATCTAAAACGAGCGCGGCCAAGCCATACAAATTTATACAACGCACTCGTTTCCAGATCGCTAAACAAGTGTAGTCAGCTTTTGGTATGTCGAGAGTGGGACTTCTGGTTAATTTGTTATTCTGTGATTATACCAACACGGATGATGCTCTGCATGATCGTATAATATTTTATTAAGACAAGCTTTCAATAACAAGTTAAAAATTAATGATAGGAAAAAACATATATATATATTACAAGTATGGCCTAATCTATATGCTAAAATACATATACGTATGTATTAGCATAAATTAGGCCATACTTGTAATATATATACTGTATATATATATATATTTTTTCTCCTGTCACTATTAACCTGTTTCAATAAAATACGACCGGAGAACGTCTGACCCATTATTAGACTTAACATTGCGCAGGTGTGAGGAAAAGATGGGTGTATAACTTCAGAAATCATCAATTATTTATGATGTTTGGTGAAGAAATTTTTATACTGCTGTGCAGGGGGTAATTGCATGTTTTCAGCGGGAGTATACATGACTCAATAGAGACCTTAAGATTGACGTTTACGGCAAACGTCAAACCGCTAGCGAAGTTTTTGATTTTACAACTCTATTATTATAGCTTTTACACCAGTTTTGAAATATGTTAAACTTA